CCCCTCCCCCCGACACAAAAATTCCTTTTTACAGGTATACATATAATATGGACTGTTATTTCACAAATTCATACCAAAGCTTTTTGTGTTTCACTGGGGGATATGTTTATTGACAAAATACGACAAAAATGCTTATTTTCCACCAATTTCAAAGCGAATTACAACTGAATTGTACATTGTCCTGACCACACATATTTCCCTTTAAACAGTTTAGCTCGTACATGATGCTTGTTTACATGTGTTACATCTTGTTAAATTTCAATTACATTTTAAATATTCTTTATATATATTTTCAAATTTTATTTATTCATTTATTTATTTACTAATTTATTTATCTATTTAATATTTATAATTATTTATTTTTGTTATTTTAGTGAAATTTATATCTTTGCTTGATTTTTTACTTTTACCGTTTAAAATTTTCTTTTAAACAGAATTAGAACTTTTTTTTGGTTTCAGGGCTCGTTTGAAACAACTTGCACGTTATGGATTAATTGAGTCCACAAAATTTTTTATGCGCTGTGGGTGGAACATCGACTCAGACAGAGAATGGTTTCAAAATTTAGAAAATAGAGAAGAGTTCGGCTTTGGTTTTAATTACGATTTTATCGACTATATATCTCAGGTTACTCCTGAGAAATATAAATCTCTTGCAGCTATGTTAAACGAAATTTTGAGAGAGCCAAAATCTCTACAAAACCTTTGCAGGCATAAAATTCGGCATGAGCTTTCATTTTGTGGTCACAGTATTTTGCCATTAATTGATGATCTACCACTTCCAACAAAATTAAAATCCTTCATGAAATTTGAAGATCTTGAAGGTCCAGGAGTGGAGGAAGTGATCGTACGGTACTATGTTTTTACCAATTTTGGCATGAAATATTACTACTTAATAAGATTCTTCATATGTATTTTAAGGATATCTAATCCAATATTACTGGAAGGTAAATACATTTCTTCTAATAATACAAATACATTGTACCTTTGTTTGAGGACCCTCTCTATACACTGATGAAAAATGCTTTTTTGGACTCTGAAGAAATTAAATTGCATAATGCAGGATATTTTGAAATTGACCTATTTATTTCTGAAAATGAGAGAGTACTCTTTTTATCTATGGAATATATTTAAAGACAATGAAGTAATGATAAAAAAAATCGCATTTACTTACTCAAATGAGGAATATACATGCAAATATTTCCATTTCTAACTTTTTTCTCTGTGATAACTGTTTAAAAGTTGGGGGAATTTATTTCTTAATAATTCTGCCGGAATGTAAATTAGGCAGGTCGATAGGTCAGCAGCTAAGGAGGCCTAATACGCATGCAAATCTCGTGCGCATCTGTCTCTGTGTCTGATGCTAAGGAGGCCAAATATGCATGTAAATCTCGTGCGGTTGCCTTTGTGTTTGACGTCAGTGTGTGAGGACTATTGAAATTGGCATGGAAGTCCTCGTGTAATTTAAATCGATTAGTTTACATTTTTAATGTCTAAGTCTACAATTTTATTTCACAATGAAATGGAAATATAAGGAATCACTGTCTAGTTTTGAGAGTATGCCAGGGACAACAACAATAGTGGGAAACATGGGATAATTTTAGCATAACGGGCTTCGCCCGTTATGCAAATTATCCCATGTTTCCCACTATTGTTGATGCCCTGGCATACTCTCAAAACTAGACAGTGATTCCTTAAATAAAGTTTGAAAATGGTTTTAGGGTCAGTCTATGTACACAAACTTACTCTGAAATTTAGGTGCAATACAGAGAAAATAACTAACATGAAATTTTTTCTTCAAGAAAATAAATGACAGTTCAATACCAAAAGAGGAGAGATGAATCTTTTTTTCTCTTTTTCAGCTCGAAGTGTGATTTTGAAGAGTTTGAAGATTCTTAACACAGATTTTAAAAGACGCAGAAGCATATTACAACTAAAGTCATAATTATATAGTCTGCACAGCATTCATCTTATAGAAAGACTGCATGAAAAGCTACAATCCATTTGTATTTGTACACGCTTTTTACTTGCTTTGTCTTTACTTTGATTTTCTATTCTGTATGAATGAAGAAAAATCGTAAAGGATGTAAAATTAAAACTGATCAATCAATATTTCATAATTGGTAGAAGTTTAATTATTCTATACAATTTCTTGCATTTATACAGTATAACTTCTCTTAACCAGTTTGCTTGTTTTGTCTGAATTGCCGGATAAGAGGTGGCCGAATAATTGAAGATAAGCTATCGTTGAGACAGTTTTCTTAAGGGGGAAGTGATGATGATTTTTTCAAAATAATCAGTTTTCAGGTGAAATTTTACCTATTGCTGTAATAAAAAAAAACACTTAACAAAACTTCTAAGTGTTCACTGTAATAAATGTATTCAATAAAACCTACTTTATTAAATGGAATGATATTTTCAAATTATTACAACAAATGAGTCTCCTCAACAATTGTTGAAAGAAAATCATATATCACCGATGTTCTGTGACGAAGATTTTGCGGCACGTGTTTTGTGTAATCAGTATCTTTTTGTGACCATCAATTTTTAAAAACTGGTTTCACTAAAAAACACAAAACATTGGCAAAATGACCATTGAGAAAGAAGGGAAAGTCGTTGGAATGTTGATATCTGGATCATCCTTACACCACCTTTACTCACTTTTATTTTATTTGTTAATTTTCCTTGATATTACATTTAGAAATTAACAACCAGTATCAAAAACCATTTAAACACATTTTTCTATAGGCTGTGCGTCATTTTCATCGCCAATTTATCACAATTTGAAAGCTTTGGACAACATTTAACCAAACCCGAAGTAATCTTGATCTTCTTCTGAGACTAATGTTTCGCGTCACACCAGGTTAAAAGAGTGTCAATTGTCCTTAAACAATCTTAGAAACATGAAAACAAACAATTGTAATCGTAAGAAAATAAGAAATTGGTGACCGTGGCAGTCTAAATATCATCTCAAGCAGTCTGAATCATCCTTAAAGCGGTGTATTTACTTGCTAAAAGCCCATGGATATTGACCAAAAGGTCTCTGTGTGATGATGCATTGTCAAAACCCCGGATCTGAATCCCGTTAAACACATTTGGGATTTTTATAAGTAATGTCAACCCCCCTCCACTCAATTTCAATAGTTTGGAAAGATTTATGAAGTAGGTGTGGCAGCAGATGGGTCAATCGCCTATTCAGGGGTACATGGTATCCAATAGTAAAGGATATCTTGCAGTAATTAGAGCGATTGGTGGTCTTACTACATAGAGATTATTTTGTGTGAATTTTCATTTTGAGGGTACACCATTCCTTGACAATTTGCTTAAAAATTCTGACGAGATACTTACATGAAATTCAAATCGAACTGAAATATGCATCATTAACCATGAATTAAAGAAATTATTTATTGTATGCATTTATTCTTTTATTCTTTAAAACTTAAAAAATGTTACGTGACCACTTAGAAGTTTGGTTCAGTGTACACATAAACATTTGTATACTTATCAGAACAAATTTTCAGGCAAAAAGTATTTGTTTACGAGTTTGATTTGAAAAAAAAATTCAAGGAGTATCATTGGTTCCTAAAGTACCTTGCACAGAGTAGAAGAGATTACAAGGTAGGCACTGTTCACATTGATTTAAAATTGACTGCCACACAGTTTGAAAAAAAATGCTAGACAATATAATATAAAATTCTACAAAGTTTCCATATACTGCTGCCCACTTGACACGATACGCTTTGCAAGAACCACTGCATCGTTTATAAAAAAAAAACCCCACTACATCAAAGATTATGATCCATTTAAAATGAAATGCAGCAATAAACCGGTACCTTCATCACCTGCATATGGAGTATATATATCTCTCAGTTGATTCGATACGCAAGAGCAGGCTCTTCCTATGAACAGTTTCTAAAACGAGGTAAACTATTGACAAAAAAGTTTATGAAACAAAAATATCAGCATTCTCGGTGAAAGACATCTTTTCGTAAGTGGTATGTTCGATGCAATGACCTTGTCAGCAAAAACAATTCATCATTGAGTCAAATGCTGAATGACGTTTTTCATACTAATTGTTAGTCCATTATTTAAGCACGGAATTGACGACGGATTTATCCGTTTTTTCCCGATCATGACAAGCACACGGCAGGTTTGACCGGTTGGCATCCCCCCTCCGGGAAATGTATAACACAACTTTAAAATACATGTACATGGTCATAGGTTAATGGAAGATAACTTAGATAGCTAAGCAGATTCATTTTTGTTCCAAACATGACGCCTAGTTGTAGGATGTAGCTAAAATACGCGATCAAAGTTTGACAATTGAATATACAATATAGTAAAGGAGAAAAATATTTGTTGATGAAAAACAACGGGACCATGTTGACTCAGGTGCGCGTTCTGGCACATAGGCATCTTGTCTTAAAAACTTTTTATCAGCTACCTGTACGTATCTCAGAAGATAATTTACTCAGTGTTGAATTAAGAAATCTTTATGCAGCTGCGAGCCAGGATGACTCAAATAAAATTATCCAGAATGTTAACTTCCTTTTTTGAATTAAAATATGCTCATATTGAATGACACTTCACATTGAATAGTGGTTTTTCACGGGGTGTTTAAAGTATTATTCTAAACTAGTAGAGGGAAAATCAATACTTCGGTACATTTAGGTGCATTTATACAAAGGTGTAAACATTGTGAGGATGTTTTCCCGTGTGCTAACCTTTAAAGTGAACAAACAGTCAAAGATGGATAAATTTTATAAATCCATCTGTAATAAGAACATGGATACTTTTCGAAAGATGTGGTATGAAAGTGGACACATGACGTCTGGCGATGTTAAGGTAGTCGTCCGTATGGTGTCAGAACAAGGGTTTGTTGAAGGACTTCGCTTCATAATAAAGGAACGAGGTACAGAATGTCTTAATCTCGGAAAAGATCACGACGTGTTTCATGTTGCATGCAAAGCTGAACAAATAGAGGTTGTATTGTTTTTGCTAGCCCTGGAGGAATTTGACAATACTACATTACTTAACAGTGAATTTTGGGGCGGTTTATCCAAATTGTCTGAGGCAAATATAATCGAAATTATAAGTGAATTACTGGTATGTGGAAAATTTGACATAAATAAAACAACGGTACCACCACAAGGCGTTTCTCTACTTTTTCATGCAATTGAAAATAATATGAAGCTATTAGCAGATTATCTCATTCAACAGGGAGCCGATGTTTCATTTGTTGGTAGAAGTGGTTTGCTAGGAACTATCAGTTGTACTTGCCTCTCAGCAATACAAATGCCATCTGTTCTTCCGGATGTACTGAAAAGAGGTGGAAATGCTAATGATGTGTACGATAAAAACGGACAGTCAATTCTGATGCTGGCATTTGAAAATTACGCTGACCGAAGAACGATCGAAGAACTTGTACGTGCCGGAGCAAATTTAACCTGGAGAGATAACTCTGGAAAAACAACCCTTTCCATGTTAAAATCACTAGGTTAGGAATTTTCGATCCAAAGGATCATGTCTGTTTAAAATATGTTCTGCGCTTGTCTATCTTCCTTTTCGTTCGCAATCTGAGTCTTGTTCTTAACTCTTCCAGAAGCATTTGTTCATTTAAAACCAAATACTGAAGGGGGGGATAAATCAGGGTCGTGTAAAAAAAAATTGCATCGTTAAGTGAATGAAAAGACTTCTAAAATCATCAAAGATAGAGCAAAGCTCATGATTCTAATTATAAAGAAAAAATACACACCGATTTTTTGGTTCAACATTTATTTATCAGACTAAATGTAAATGAACAGGTGATTTGTAGGGCAGCTGCCAGGAATTGGGGCTTGACTAAGCTCCCTCTATAGCAATACATAATAATAAACCTTAAAAGCACCTCTCTGGATGCTTTATATTTTTAAATACAAAGTCACTGTAATTTCTCTGTTATATATATTTCACAGTTTGTTGGTATTGTGAAATGAAAATAAAATTATAAAAAAAAAATACAAAGTCACACATATAATTTTTCCTCTAATATAAAGAACAGGTATATGAATTCAGTTGTATTGCATGTAAATCAAATAATATATGTATAAAATTATATATGAATGTGGTATTAAATTTGCGTGAGACAAGATTTTCAATCATTTCAATTTCAATGAAAACCAAAGAATAATAATAATAATAATAAAACGTGACTGACAATTTTGAACAGGAAAACGAATATGCAAGTAGTATTCTAAAAGATTCTTTAATGCACAGCATCACGCTTATTTCAATAATCTCATCATAAATCTAATACACGTGTTCTTCACAGATCAGTTCTATGGTGTTTTGGATGCAGGCGTCCAAGTAAAGTATATCGAACAACTATATGAATTTTCTACGTTGGAGTTCATCTTTACGAGTAAAAATATAATAAAATATAGGAGACTCCTCTTAGAGAAAAAATTCCATTTGAAGACCAAAGGCGCTAAAATTGACTGGAATGGAATGACTAAGCTCATTAGCATTTTACAGCAAGGTAAAATGTATTTCAACACACAGATCATCTGTCTTTACGAAGTTAAAAAAAATATCGAATTAGAGTTCATTTTATGTCTGATATAAATAAGGTTTTTGATGATGATAAGGATGAATTAAAATACAAAAATCTTTTCAGAATGTTTCTAATTATTTATTGTTTACTGAATTGATATTATACGATATAGTAAAGGATCATTTATAATTTCAGTATACATGTAGTCTTCTAAAAGTCTTTTCGAGATTAAAAGTTTCATTGATTACCAGAAATTACCCACTGTCTAAGCTTACAGATGACATGTTCCATAGAAAATCTCATTTCTCAGTCGGTTCACTATGATTTTATACACACATCCATGACATAGTTTGAAGATATGGCTTTTAATTAATCACTTTCTCCTGTGCATCAAGTATATCCTCATTTTGCGATGGGAAACAAATATTATTTTTATAATTCAACATTTTAAAGGTACATGTGATAAGATACTTTTAAATTAAAATTCTGTGACCTCGACTTTTTTTAAAATTAAATTTGATCTGGAACAGAACTTATCTATCACTAAAGTCGCTTAAAAATTCTTTTGATTTTACACGATTTATTTTACCATTAAAGAGCTTATTAGATAAAACGAAGAAGACTGATTCAGTTTTCATTGGATTTTACAGTTGAAGTATCAAAAGGTTCTACATGTGAAGCTGCTCATCATCTGCTTGACCTTGGAGCTAAGACAGATAACTTCTTATCGAGTATGATAATGGCAGCTTCAAATGATGAAGAGTGGCTAAACTTAGGAAGAAGATTGTTAAAGTCCGGTGCTGACCCAAATGACAAAACGACGAAGGGACAATCTGCCCTTTCAGTTGCTATTCAAAGAAATTTATATGCGTTGTCGGAAGAACTAATTAAATATGGTGCTAATGTTAACTTTACTGATCGTGGTGGTAAGACACCGTTGGATTATGCTTGCGAATTAGGTAATATGTATTAATAGTACTTACGAAATATATGGAGATAACGAACAATATTCATGCTCAATACTCCAATTAATAAACATTACAAATTAGGAGCATAGCAAACACGGGCCTCTGAAATATCAGAGGTGGGATCAGGTCCTGGAACAATGTAATGAGCATCCTCTGCCGACCGATCATACCAGCCACGTGCTTTTGGTCTAGATTGGGATTATATTTGGGAATTTAAATATATTGTTGGAATACTAGGTCTCCAAAAAACACATAGATATCGTCAATCAAAACTCAAACGTCTTTTCAATTATAACTTTCGCAGTACAGCTTTCAAAGAAATACATTTTAAAATTTAAAACAAGCAATTCTGCGTAAGTTTTACGAAGGATTTGGGTTTCAAATGATACTGGTAATGCCCATGTATGTTTGAGTTTATTTTTTCTATACTTTTATTATTTGTTAACGATCATACAATTGCGAACAGTGCTAATGTTACAGGTTTTTTTTGTATGACTACATACTAAAGCATACTTTGAACACGAAGCAAAAAAGTTTTAAGACTCCAAAAATGAATTAATGTATATTTTATTGTAGGGATGACTGACACGGAATTCAGATGTTTAAGAATTCTCCTCAAATATCCAGTAAAATTGAGCAAAAAGAATATTTTCGAACACACTTTTGTCCTAGGAATAACTAGCCTCCGGCAATATCTTCTGAACAAAACAAGCACTAATAGTAATCAACACATTCTCACAATTGGCGTGAATGGTGTTTTTCAACTTTTCATCGCTGGGGCAGATTTAGTAGATGAACAGCCTGGGTATTTAAATATAAATTTAATTCATTCTTTTAATAGAAGCATTTTGGAAATGATAAAGATATTCCTTTTCAATATTACCTTAATATTATGCTATAAGTTTATAGAAAAAAATCTTTCGTTTTAGATCATCTACCTTGAAATGTCTTCGTTACCTTGCATTTTATGGATTATTTGAATCAATAAAATTTTTAATGCGCTCTGGTTGGAAAGTAGATACAGATAAGAAATGGATAAAGGATTTAGGAAACGAAGAACATTTTAACTGTGGTTTTATGGTCGATGAAACGTGGTATATACCTCAAATTACAGCTGAAAACCGAAAAGCTCTTTTGGCCGCATTAAACGAAATTGAGAAAGAACCAACAAATTTACAAAACTCCTGTAGAAATGAAATTCGAAGGCTGCTCTCTTCTCGTGGTCATAGTATTTTGCCCCTTATTGAAGATTTACCAATTCCAACAAAACTTAAATATTTCATAAAATTTGAAGATTGTGAAATTCCAAAGGAAGAAGAAGTGGTTGTAAATGTTAGAAGGTAATTTGTTTATTTATGTGGTTTGCCATGCATAATCTGCAGTGTTTAAAGATAATTCTAATTACAGTGATTTCATTTAACCCATTTTGAATTGCACTATATTTTGCATCACATAAAAAGTTTCCGTAAATATATTATTTGTATGTGCAATATGCTTAGAATAGGAATAATTGTATTCTTGGTAGTTAATAATTTTGTTTTGTTAAAGGTGCTTGCATTTGTTGTCATTCAAAAGCACTTAAAACACCTTAGAGCTATGTTAATTTTGTAGGCTTAGAGCTGTCTCCATTTACTTAGTTTGGGTTTGTGGCAGGGCAAGTCTTCCAGAAATTCGTTAATGTTTATGTTCACCAATAGTCATTTTATACAAAGATACTACTACAACTAGTCTTTGTTACAAATTTATGCTCGACAGAGTCATCCTAAATATCTGGATGTGTATAAACATCACATACAAATAAACTAAGCAAAATCCTAATCATTTGACAAGTAGGGAAGTGAGTGAGAGATAATAAATTTTATCAAATAAATTCTTTAAGAAATATTTAGGTTTAAACACTTCATTCTTGCTGCATGTATAATCAAAACAATATGTCTCTTAATCCTTTATTGGGACTTGACATGTCATGATATTTGAAATGAATAAAACTAAAGAGAAGAGCCTAATGAATGTGCTACATATTATTCACAAAATCTAAATGTTTTAAAGAAGACAATTTTAAAATAAATCACTGTTTGTTATTTTCAGCTAAGCGTGTTCAGGACATTTTCATTGGTTTTAAAACTGCAGAGCAATTCAATAAAAAACACTTTGGATTTGTCTTATAAAAACATTTATGAAAATCAGTATATGAAAATAAATGCTATAATCATGACACTTATTTTCTTTCTCTTTTCAGCCCTGAGGACCTTTTTGGCGATTATTGAATACTCTAAAAAGTATACCTGTCCGAATCCAGCGTTGTGTGTACGTAGCATTTTGTCATATTGTTTGAACAAAATGCTGCATAATTCATTGGATTTGCTTGTAACATACTGCTTAAGTCTTCACTCTGCACCTTTGCGTGAACCACTGCATCGTTTGAATATTGTTTAGATCACGCACTGAAAAAAGAAAACATTTAAATTCAAAAATTATCTTTAGTATACAAGATATCATGGACCCCTTTCCATTGAAATATCTTAAATTTCATGTAGTATTTTAATTCTTGTAATGCTATCAGAAATCAAATTCCACTGTATTTTGATTTGTAATATTTCACCCATTTTTCTTGACGTTTGGGAAAAAAAGCCCGACGCGGAGAATATCTTTTTAAAAAAATCAAATGAAATTTTATCAGTTTTTTTGCCACCTGTTTAAAATATAATATAACTTAATGTGCATTGATATTCGAGAATATGTCTTCTGTCCAGGTTCATTCCTGCTATTTGCTGGACATGGATGCTGTATTTGGGAATGTCTTATGTAATCTGTACTGTATACAGATTGTGCATATTCACAAATAAATGTACGAAAAATATAATTTCTTTTTATAAATGAGTAAAGAAAAATTCAGATCAAATGTCAAATTTTTAAGGATTGTTGAAATCTATTTTTAATTTGGAAAAAGAAAAATCAATACATATATAATAAGTGCATTCATAAGATAATACAAAGGAGTTTTTAACGTCCACAGGTTACGATACACAAACAATTTGGTGCAAATATTCTTCAAATGTATTTATGAGAAAGATATCAATACTTTTCGAAAGACGTGGTATCAGAGTGTTAAAATAAAACCTTGTCATTTTCGCAAAATCGTCCGTATGGCTTAGAACAAGGATCTAAGTAGAGAAACAAAATGAAGAATCTAGATCTTGATATATGTAATAACATCATTAACTAAAAAGTTTGATAGTTAACTATAGATTATTATTTTTACTATAGTAAATGAAATTATAATTTCGAAAAATTTCAGATAGACATATTTAACTTTATTAAACTCATACAAGCAGTTTTCTGATATTAAAAAGAATTATTCGTTGTTATTTTCATATTTTTAAAAATAATTACGTCAATGGTATGTAATAACAAAAATATTAAGGCTCGAAATCTTCAAAAAAGTTCTAGAGCAAAGATTCAAGGTAAAATCAAAGAATCATTATACTTACTAGTAACACAGTATCACTTTAATGATATTTGACTCTCAGACTTAACTAAATAAAAAAATACCGGAATTCATTATTGAGAGTTGTACTTGTGTCGAATTCCACCAAAGTTAGTAAACACCTTACAAACCTCCGTCTGTCAAGCTTTGCATGAAACATGGAACATCCCCAACAAAAATGTTCTATATATAATTAACCATGGGAGTGAGGAAAGGTATACTTCGCATTAATAAAGCATCAGCAGAAGGAATATCTCCAGCTATTATTTAAAAATATTTTTTCCGGCTTGAAAATTGTAAATAAATAAACAAATAATAAAAACAAAAAAGGAGATTATTTCATTGAGCAGAGAATGATGGACGGTAACATTTGATTGTAAAAGGTACACGCTTAGGAAATGAAACATATGGAAATAAGGAAGAGTATTCAAGATCAAAAGTCCATTAAATACTACAAAATAGGAGCACCTAGAGCAAACACGGACCTCCAAAATATCTGAGGTTGGATAAGAAGCCATGGAGGAGTGAGGAATATCAAACGTATTTCACTCTCAGCTCATAATTAAAATACCATCTCGTCCTCTTGCTTGGCGTAAAATAGAAGGAAATGCTACAATTAAATGAAAAAAAGAAAAATATGGACAATCAGTTTTGAAGCTGACACTTGAAAAAAAAACAGACTAAGGACAGTTGGACCAGTGAAAATGCAAGCAAATATTTACTTCCCCTGCATATCTAGTAGACCAAGTTATATAGCTATAATGAGAAAAGGTGTATTCTCCAAAATCTAGAAAGAAATATAGCCCCTGGGTGAGAATTGTGGTTTGGGTGGAGATCTGTTGATAATATAATAGAAAAAAATATCTTTGAATACAACTGCTTATTGGTTATAAGCATATTTTAATAATCAGAGCTCCAGATTAGGTGCGTATTTGCAGAAATACGTATTAAATTTTACAAAATACGCATTGAAATTAAAATAGAGCGTACAATTACGCATTGGCAATCATAGATACGCATTACACCACGAAAGTACTGCGTACAATAAGTTGAAGAATACAGGTACGACTTACTTAATGATACGAATTAAGGTTAACTCAGTGTTTGATTTTTTCTCAAAACGAAGTACAGATTTAAAAGCCTTTTAGTGACCAGGAATATTCTAGTAATGACGACGACGATCTCCATTTCGGGAGGAAGAATCGGAGATTTAGATTAAAATCAATTTCTATGTAGAAAGACTATGCACTAGGCATAACTTTTTTTATTATGGGTTCATAGCCAATTTTTCATCTCTCTCAACTTGACATATTAATGATCGGAAGATTCTTTGAGTTTACTCTTGATACGATATCTTAAATGAATGAAAAGTTATATGTTCTGTAACTGTATGGAACTGTGTACCTTGACCTACTGTACAATCTTCCTTGTCAAAAGAATGCATCCCAATCGTAGCAAAAAGTGTTGTTGGTATTTACAATTAAATTTATTTACATAAAAGCAGGGATTATCCTATGAAGTTTTTTCCCTCTTCAAAAGCTCATACATGTACTTCGATTACAAGCTCAAAATAATGGTCAAAACATTTCTATACAAAAAAAAAATACTCTGCAATCATTTTGCTGAAAATCAAAATGTGCATTGATTTGAAAATCGGGGAGTAAAGACACTTTGGAGCTGGAGCTCTGATAATATATTGTCAATCAATATTTTATGGTTTCATTCCATAACAATGATGTCGATTTTATATTCAAAATCTCTTAGGTACCTTTTCTATTACCTATATTTTTTTCAGAAAGATGAGGTTCATGCATATGGACAACAATGCTCACATTAGTTACCTTGTCTTCTACAGAGGATTTGTTCCCTCTTTACTTCTATTTAGAAAATTTAAACCTAAATTGAGGCACTCTCTAGCTATAAGGGTTTATGATTTGAGTTGGCATGGTAACATACTCTGCAAAATGTTTTCAATGTCTTGCCTAAAAGTATGAAAACTGGTCTGATGGGCATCTCGGTTACTGTTCACAAAACTCGTGGTTCAGAATTACTCACCCTTGAAATTAATCAAGTCATGAAAGGAGAAAGGCAAAGAGAGAAAACACGAGTATAAGGATGACAATTTTTTTTCAAGATATCTTGTAATATTGCTTGATGCACTGATGGTATACTCACCGATTTTTGATTTTTACATTTAGTGTTTATTCAAAATTACTTAAATCACAACCAATCCCAACGTAGTTGGGAAAGGGCCGCAATGGGATTTACAATGAAATATACAATTCCGAGTTTTCGTAATGACGGCGGTTCTGACGTGTTCCTAGCACGTAAAATATCAAATCCTTAACAAAGCCTGGAAAACGTCAGATATTTCGGACTAAAGATGACATACATAGTGTCAACAAATTTTAAATTTTGTGCAGATGCGTGCCAGGATTGCGGTATGAAAACTACGCAAATATCGTTTATTTTTGACTGCGAAATACATTTGCTCAGATTGAATGGCATTTCCATAGACCAATGAGCAAAATGAATAGTGTTGTCAACTAGTGTTTAAATAATTATAAACTTGTTAATGGAAAATCAATCCTTCGGTGCATTTATACAAAGGTGTAAATATAGTGAAGTGCAAACTTTAAAATGAACAAACGAACAAATATGGATATATTTAACGAATCTATTTGTGAAAAAAACATGGACACTTTTCTAAATACGTGGCATGAAAGTGGACACATAACATCTAGCGATCTTAAGGCAATCGTCCGTATGGCACTGGAACAAGGGTTTGTTGAAGGACTCAGCTTCATAGTAAAGGAAAGAGGTACAGAATGTCTTAATCTTTCAGAACATCATGGCGTGTTCCATGTCGCATTCAAAGCTGAACAAACTCAGGTTGTGAAGTTTTTGCCAACTCTGAAGGTTGACAAAATTACATTACTTTATAGTAAATTTTGGGGCGGTTTATCCAAATGGTCTGAGGAAAATATAATCAAATTTATAAGTGAATTACTAGTATGTGGAAAATTTGCCATTAATAAAACAACGATACCACCACGGGACGAATCTCTACTTTTTTATGCGATTGAAAATAGAAAGAAGCTTTTAGCTGATTATCTTATTCGACAGGGTGCAGATGTTACATTTGTTGGTAAAAGTATGTTTCTAGGAACTATCAGTTGTACTTGTCTCTCAGCAATAAAAATGCCATTTTTGCTCCCGGATTTACTGACAAGAGGAGGAAATGCAGATGACGTACATGATAAAAGTGGACAGTCAGTTTTGATGTTGGCCTTTAAAAACAATGCAGACCGAAAAACAATAGAAGAAATTGTACGTGCTGGAGCGAATTTAAGATGGATAGACAACTATGGAAAAACAACTTTTTCCAAGCTAACATCAATAGGTTTGAATCATCCAATCAAGAAAAATGATCTTTTTTTCTTCATTCTTCTAAGATGTATTATACGAACCATGCACGCTATCATTTGCCGGTAAAGAGCTGCAAATTTTGTCCTATACTCGGTACATAAGGCTATTGAACAGTTAGGGGTCTTTTTCGCGCCAGCATCTACTGCAACACCGTAGCTTGGTTTATACGGTCTCATCCAAAGGACCGGTCTCTACGTTCCACAATGGGATTCGAACCCGCGATATAAGGATCAACTCCTTACCTCGCAATTTTAGAGCAGATGCTCTAACCACTGCGCAACATTGGCGGCTTCATAAAAAGAAAATTTATTTGATACGTTTTTAGGATTTTGTTGTTGAAATTTCCAAAATTCAAATAATGCAATCCCCTTGGCAAAATAATTGTATTTTAATGAAAGCTTATTTTTCTTCAGACAAAAGGTTTTTTTTAAAATCATCTGTCTTAAATTAGTTCTAAGTTATTTTATTGAGCACAAAATGTTTCAAGAGAAATGCTTAGGGCTAGATCTCTTCATCTGATTTGTTTTAGATCTTTATGAAATATATGACAATAACGAACTAAATTTATGTTTAAAGTCCATTAAACAATAAATTAAAAAAAAAAAATAGGCGCAGAGCAAACGCGGTCCTCCAAAACATCAGAGGTGGGATCAGGTGTCATGGAGGAGTGAGCAACCCCTGCTTGCAGGTCACACCCGCCCTGTGCTTCTTGTCATGCTTGGGAAATATCGAAAAAATCCGTCCGTCGACAATTCAGTGTGTAAATAATG